TGCTAGTTCTAAATAATTTAGCAGACAACAAATTCAGTAAGTAAAAATTTATTTATTCTTTTCTTATTGGCATCTCTAAAAGTCCTAAGAGGGCAGGGAGTTTAGGTTCTTGGTTCTGCACTCAATTCTCATTGCCTAAACCAGGCCCTTGCATAAAGTAGCAGTTCAGTTCAAAAGCTATGTAAGTATAAGTGAATGAATGAATCTTCATCTCATTTTTACGAACTCCGTCACTCATGTTTGTATGCATATTTCAGAAGTCATTGTAAAATGTTATGTTCAATGAAGACATGTGGCTAAATTAGCATGTTAATCTATGTTAATATTAATCTGTTAATTAATGTTAATCTATGTTAATTAATCTACATTAATAACTTACATATTAAATTTATTAAAATTTCTGTCTTTTTGAGCAGCTCTCCCTCCATTATTGTTTTACAATTTAAATTAGTTAAATCTTGTGAAGTCTTTGGTATTTTTTAAAGGCAGGCTACCATTTAAAAGCTGTGGCTTTCAAATACTTTTGAGTACAAAGCATAATTTTATGAAACAAATTTTTTACCATATGCATCCTGAAATTTTCTTTTCTTTTCTATTTTATTCTATTTCATCTTTAATTATATTCTTCCCATAATTCACTACATTGATTTCATAACCCAATTATGCTCATAGGTTATAACCTGCAGATTGAAAATATCACTACAAAGTACAAAAGGATGATATGTGATTCCCAATAAACTTATATTAATGTTACCACTGAAAATTTTAAAAATAACTAATAAGTGCTATTTAGGCAAATCCTTATTTTAGGCCATCCAGTATTTTATATTTACATGTGATCTGAAATGGTTACACTATGAATATTAAATGGAAATTTCTGAAATCAATTCTGAACAAAAAGAAAGAATGTAGAGCTAAAATGTGTTCTAAAATGAAGGAACTATGATACTAAAGAAGAATACTGTTACTTTAAAACCAAAGATACCTCAACATAAATGCTATTACATATTCTGCCATGGAAAACTATCAATCCTAAGCATTTCTGTTGAATTTATCACTTTTATTTGTAATCAGTAGATACCGAGAGTGTATAAAATGGTGGGAATATTCTAATGGCATGATTATTTTCTTTTATACAAGATGAAAATAGATTTTTCTAGTTCTCCACATACAAATTATCTCTACATCGTATAAATTATTTATGTATAATGTTTAGTCCACCTTTATTTTCCACTACATATCTATTTGCTACCATGTGGTAAACTTATTACCACATTCTTGAACCATTAAAATAACATCCAAAGAGGTTTAATGACATCTTATCTCCTCTGGATCAAAATCAACTTTCATATCAGTGCAGATACTTTATTAAAATTCTGATTGGTTAGTTCACATCCTAAACTGTTTCTTGTGCCATCAAAAGCCTTCTTAATTTACCTTTTATACGCTTGCTTGTCCATCATGAGTACTTCAATCATCACTTTTATGTGTCAACTTGGCCAAGATCAATCAAATTCTAATTTTTGTGTTGCTGTGAAGTTTCTTAGTAGATGTGATTAATATCTATAATCTGTTGTCTTTACATATAAATGTGATTATTCTGGATAATCTGGGTGATGCTCTTCCAAGCACTGAAAGGCATTAGGAATCAACTGAGATAGAGCTAATGTTTCCCTGATGAAGAAGAAATTCTACCAGTGGACTGCAGGATCCCCTTCTGGCAAGAAGCCTTTAGTTCCTGATAGCCTGTCATATGTATTTCAGACTTGGCCAGTCACCACCTTACAACTGTATAATCCAATTCTTTTCAATAAATGAGTAAGAGTTTATGTATACATCCTACTATTTCTAGTTCATGAGTAAAATACTTTTATCATTTTTAGGACTTTAGCAGGGCTTGAGCCCTGCTCTTGATATATTATTTGTGGCTTATATGTTTCTCTGTGTTGCTCCACTCCTCCTCACTGTCTCACTACTCACTTGAAATGGTCACTCTGCCCTAGTTTTGACCATTAGAAATCCTACTTTGCATCTACTTTCATAAAGCAGGAGTGACTCATTATTCTGTGAATATCTATATCTTTCTGTAGTATCACTTGGATGGCATAAAACTTGATGTGACTTTTATGTTGGTTATTGTGTTTCTGAATGATAATAGGCTCAAAAGAATATAAGCAGTGTCCTATAAAGCTCTGAAGTGTCAACAACATTCAGTAAAACTCAGAAACAGGACCTTATACGTGATAGCCATTTAATAAATGAATAAGTAACCAGGTGTTATTACATAAGTAAAAGCTAAAGCTCTGAAGTCAGATAGATCTCAGTTTTTCAATTGGTTCTGTTATAGTAGCTTTGTAGTAATTGGCAAATTATGTCATCTTTTAACATTCATTTCTTCATATATAATGTGGTGATAACATCATTATTCACTATGCTGGGTCATGGAAAATACTAAGAGGAGTAATACAAAAGCAAGCCAGTATAGTAAATACCTGGAATATATTAGAGAGCAATAAAATGTAACTATTGTGTTGTTATGTTAGAAATAATATTCTGCATTAATTTATTACATATATATATATTGATCATCTACTCTGAGGTAGGGACTTTAGAAATTCTTGAGAAATAAAATCATAAACTTGTGATTGCTAACATTTAACTAGTATTTTATTCATATATTGCACTAGGACTTTATTTAACTTCTTTATATCCTTTTTATAACTCTAGTGAGAGTTATTATTTATTATCATTTCTATTTATGGATGAATAACACAGATACAGAAAAGAAAAGTTAAGCAATCTGCCCAAAAACACACAGCTTAAAGTGTCAGAGTCAAGATATAAACCCAGGCAATCTGACTCTGCAGTCAGTATTGTTTCTGTAGCCCTAATCATTTTCTATGGACGTGAATTTAGCCTTCATATGGCATATATTCTAATAAGAAATATAAAACATCTTCAAAATAGCTCTACTGAAGGTCTACCTATGAAGTGTCACAAAGAAGGGAATGCAGAAAACAATATTCTCACCACACATAAGGTTATATTAAAATGAACAAAATCAACTTGCCATTCCATATTTTGCTGACCTGTCTGTGAGGATGTTTCTGTATTCTCTACTTAATTCAAGATATCTTACAAGCTGGGTGTCGGTTGCTCATGCCTGTAATCCTAGCTACTCAGGAGGCAGAGATCAGGAAGCTCGCGGTTCAAAGCCAGCCCCAGACAATTAATTCCATGAGACCCTATCTCGAAAATACCTAAAATAAAAAAGGGCTGGTGGAGTGGCTCAAGGTATAGGCCCTGAGTTCAAGCCTCAGTACCAAAAAAAAAAAAAGAAAAGTTATCTTACAGATATGCACCTGTGAATTAGTATAAGCAACTGATCCATCTAAACAAACATACTCATTGCCACATCAATCTGCACAGTTAAAGTTAAAGGTACTTTTATTTATAATCTAACCCTTAGATACTTTATAATATAAATGGGTATGATTTATTTCAGTTACACAAACACAAATAAACTTTGGAGGCTTCATTTGACATGAACTTAAGATAATAGTGGAGGGCTGGTGATATAGCTCAGTGGTACAGCATTTGCCTGTCATGTGTAAGTCCTTTGGTTTGTTCCCAGAAAATCAAAATAATAATAGTAGTGGGAATAGCAGTAGTAGAAGGAGAAGGATTAACTCTTTTGAGAAAATTTTTTCTAAATAGATATCATATACGTAATTAATAGCCAATGTGGAGAAGAGCTGTAAATGATAGGTAATATGAACTTACCTTGGTTAAATAAACTTTTCATGGTAAATCATGACAACCAATCTTCATGTTAACTTTATAAGGAAGTTAAAAGGCATTGCAGTAATTTTAAGATTTTAAGAATTTTTTAAAATTTGTTTAATTTAATTAAAGGATATTAATTTTAATTAATTTTAAGAATATTAAGTTTACATATTTTAGAGCATTTTTCCTTTGCTGTGAAATCAGCAAGAAAAAATAGAGTTGGTCTATTTTACAAATCTCACTGCTGAACAACAGGTCTGGAAGAATTCTTCTAGACGGCTGTTATCTGCTCGTTCCTACTACTTCAAACATAGACCTGCACTGTAAGGCTACTATTAAACATCATTGATTTTCTGGTCCATAATGTTTTTGTTTTTCCAGAAATAAAGCTTACTAATCCATAAGCGATTTCAAATAAGAATTCTAAAAGTTTTACAGTTTTCTGTTCTCCTATGCTGTCTCCAAAGCTTAGGGGCTTAAATTGAACTCATTCAGACATTCAGGTTCCCAGTCTTTAATTCAACTTCTGTCACTTCCAAATTTTGACTGTGATTTCTCTGAAAACTACTGTAGGTTTGATGCTCAGTAACTACAGAACAGCACCATTTTGTTGAAAGTCTGTTTTGTAAATTGTATTCATTTGTTAGAACAATTTTCCAACAGCAATTAAATCTTTGAAGACATGTGGTATGAATTAATGTTTCCACTTCTCTATTAAGATGCAACAATCTAAAGAGAGAAATAACAAAAATTCACTTTTTCTGTTTTTTAAGTTTAAATTTAATTTGTTTTTTTTCTTAAATGTCAATTAAATTTATTAAAACTTCAGCTCCTTCTTATTTCTAGGAGAGTTTTTATTTTCAGTCAGTGTACTGCAACACTAAAATGTTTTAAGGGAAGGTTTGCTAATTGTTTGATTTCCTACATGCAATGATATTGAAAATAATTCTAACGACAGTAAAACTCACTTCAGGAAAATATGTGCACAGAATACATGATTTAAAAGGAAATTTAAAAGGATATATTATAATAAAAACATTTATTTGGAGAGAAAAATAGCTTCCTATGTTGTACACTACTTATCTTATTTGCAAATTTTTTCAGGAATCAATTACCAGGAAATGTCAATGCATGAACAAAGTTTCTATGATCAAACATAATTGGTAATAATACTATAACAAAATAAAATGAAATAATACCATGTAAACTGTTACCTTTGCGTTATAGGGAATGTAATGTTTTGATAAAGCTTCGGGAGTGTGCATCCATGTTTTGTCTGCAACAAAGAAAATAGAGCATTAAAAGAAATTCCAAGTTCTCGTGACATCACATTCATGAGTTAGCATATGATTCCACCTGCATGCATTAGCATATGATGTCATATACATCATTAGTATGTGTGGGCAGTCTGAGGTGGACAGGAACATTTCTAATTCTGAGATTCTTTTGCTACATTAAAAAATAATAAACACTCAGATATAAGAACAATGTAATTGGAGAAGGGATTATTTTCTTAGTATAAAAGTCCCTCACTTTTAAAAGTTTTCAAATAATACAAATCATGCAGAATTATTAAAGAATATATAACCATGAATTGCAGATAATTTTTATTTCCCAGTACAACAGAAAGTAATCTGGTCATCACTTATTGTGACTATTTTTAGCAATAATATTTAAATATTCCACATATTTCAATGTATTTTTCTTAAATTTTACATTAACCTAGCAACTGAATTTGTATGAAGTTGAAATGAAACAATATACTATGCTCATGAAGAAATCAATTTAAAATTAGACTAATCTCTATTCTAAATTTAGGAAAACGTGAAGGTTTTCTATCAGTAGTTTTGAATTTAAATAATCTTAAGTACAGTAACAGGAAATGTTAGATAAATTTAATAAAATGTTAGAAATAAAAGTAATTCAAAAGGATAGATTTTGAAAATAACTTTATTGCATTTTACTTCTATTTATATTATTTATATTTTTATTAAAATGTTAACTTTATTTATATATTCCATATAACGTCCCAAATACTTTTGGGAATGTATAAGGGAAGAAAAAAGTCAATGTTTACACTAAGCAAATTGACTATTTTTTTTTAAATGCATTTACTTTGGGATAAGATTTCTTAATCTTCAAATATACTTTTGTCTCCATTAGTGAAGCTTTGTGTGTACTTTATTCTTCACAGGATTTTGAAAATTAGAATCAATATTATAACCAGAGTAGACCTGAAATATGTTTGACCATGAAAAATAATAAACAAATACACATAAGAAGGAAATATTGAATTAGTTATAAGGTATTTTCAACATTCATTTCAGATTATTTTAATAGAGTGTTAACAGAAAGTATTGTAATATTATTTATGCTTTTCAACCTGGTGAATGTGAAGACAGAAAAAGACATATATTCCTGGCATGCTAATTATTTGAAGGATAATACACTACATTTATATTAAATGTGTTTGTGTAGAACAATGCAACGTTCACGAGAATTTCTTGGATAAAAACTGAAGGATCAACAGCATTGGGGCAATTTCTGTCTCCTAGAGAGAGCTGTACTCTGGTGAAATATTTTGAGAAGCAATGCCTCCAAGCTTCAAAATGTAATATTGACAATGACATTTAATGTCACATTTCTTTATTTCTTTTATGGATTTCCATCATAATAATGCTTTTTATGATTGCTACTGAGTGGTAATATCATTAATTCAAGAATAATTTGTGCTTCTATTTGGAATATAGTATTGCTTTTGAATATTAAAATAAGTAAACACACCAAAAAAATGAAAATACCAAACATTTGTCCTTAGGAAACCTAAAAAGATACACAATTTCCCTTTTTGTCTTTTCACTCAATTCTTCTCATGTCTCCTTTCCACAATATACAACACTTTTCAGGAGGATGTAAAGTCTGACTGAAGTCTGAATGTGGTGGTTCATACCCATCTTGAAGCAGAGAAATAATTGTTTTCTCCTGTAACCTCATTTTTATTTGAAAACTGATGATATTGCCTCTGTTACAGACTCATATTGCAGTGACCTAGCATGAGGGTAGGTACATCTGGCTGTTTCCGGTGACAGACTAAAATAAACACAGTATTAAATTGCCAGTGGATAAACATCAGTTACTACAATAACAAAAATAATCTTCATCACACATCAAATGTGAGCAGAATAGTGGTGGTCTACAACACACAACTTCTCATTGGTATTAATGCTTAGAAAACCTGAAGGATTTCCACAATTAGTTCTTGCTGTCAATCATATTTATATTTTAGTAAAAAAATAAAACTGTTGATAATAATTCACATAGATGTGGTTGGACCTTGAGAAGGAAATACAGATAACGTACCCTCAGAAGCAATTCTATAAACAGAACCAGTGTACAAATGGGAATAGTCATTCTAGAATGTGTCGCCTCCTTCAAATCATACTAAAATCACTAACTCAATATTGAGCACTCACATGAAAAGAAATGTCAACATTTCAAAATACTTGACAAATGTCAACCACTTTGACTAAATTAATTTGTCAATTAATTTAGGGTTTCAGAATGTATTTAAATTAAGAGCTCACCAAGAAAGATGTGGTAACTTCATTATTTTAATCACCAGCATTTCTCATAATGAAAGTGCCTTCTTTGAGTATATTAAATTTAAACTAAATGCTGCTGGATGAATTGATGCAGTTGAATAAAATTTTCACAGAAAAAAATTCTAAATACTGAATTTTAAGTGTTATGTACTATGATTGTATTTAGTATGTTAACTGATAAACTAAAGAAAATAAAACTACTTGAATTACTTAGCCACATTTATTTACATGTAATGTTTTATGCTTTTTCTTAAATGATTTATTTTAATGTAAGAAATAGAATAGGGTCCTTCAAAATTCAAAGAGCATGCTAACATAGAGAATCTATAAATAATCATTACAATTTAATCTGTGATTATGATATTACAGTAGCTGTTAAGAAGCTTTCAAAATAGCTCAAAATGATGCAATTCCATTCTACTCAGTCTTTTTCACTATCTCTGACACCATTAGAGCATTTGCAAAGGAAATCGGTAAGTATCTGGCTAATTCAATTAAAGAATTCCAAGACACTGCTTCAGAGAATTATGAGAAAAAGAAAGAAAACTATGCTTAAGTATAAGATGGTGATATTTTCTCCTTGGGCTTCAGAAGCATTCAGTAAGGTTGCATGTACATTGGACTGGTAGGAAATAAGAATTCAGCTTTGCCTGATGGGAGACAATTTTACTTTGTTAAGAGTGTTATACATGATATTCGTTACTGCAAATAACACCTGAATTATGTATTCCCTCTCAAGATATAATAGCTTCAGATATCAGTATATATGAATGCTCTGATAAAATCCAATTTTGCCATCTCAAAGTTCAATTCAACAGTGTTGGTTAATACCGGGAGCAAAAAGGCTCTAACATTTTTTCCTTTAACAAATGAGATTAGAACTGATAGGCAAATTTAAGGTAGAACTTTGGGTATTAAGTTCCAGCTTGGAGTTGGAGCAAAATATAAAGCAATAGTGTCCTGGTTAGGATATTTAATCATTAAACTTCAAAAAATATGAGCAGGTGATGAAAAATCAGACAGAAAGAAGTAAAGTGGGAAATAACAAGAGCTTCTGCTTCTTAATCGTCCAAATCACTCCAATTTTCCCTGGGGTTCTATTCCCTCTGTGCACAAATAAGACAAACATGTAATCACTGGTCACTCATATTACTACTTAATCCTTAAAATCTGTCAACGAACAGCTATTGTAATTCTCCTTCAAATAAATAATAAATTAGAAATGTGTAGCTTCAAGTTTAAAAATTTGGGAAAAAAAATATATATACAGATATATGCTATATATATTTATTTAGATAACTCAGAAAGTCTAGAAATTTAAGTGGTGAATTGTGATGCAAAGTTTTTGTTGCTTTATTAAAATGCTTCAGTATATCATAGAGTAATTTCTAGATGTTGTCACTACCAAAAACAATAAAATGAAACAGAGGCAAGCTATAGACTGCAAACAATGTCATTTTGCTTTTCTTTTTTCAGAAAGATAAGTAAAACAATACATTTCTATCTTCATAGGCTTGAAAAGTGTCTTAATGCTCACATTACCTGAATTCCTACTAAATACATTAGTCTGGTATACCATGTCCAAATGTTTGAACCCTCTCACTTCAGTGACAAAATTAACAATTTGAGTAATTCCATTTAGTTTTTACATGACTCTGTTAGTATGTTTTTCCTACAATAAGTCAATGACCTCATAATTTATACCTGTTTGTCCTTTATTAAGTGAAGTTCCACTGCTAAACAGTGGCCCATAACAGTGGCCCATAACACATAGTCATTATACCGCAAGATTCTCAGCTATGCATCCTGTTCACTGCTTGAAAGTGCTGAAGGTATCACACCTTTCTCCTCTGGGCGTGTTCAATGTGTCAGTTAACCCTTACATCTTTTAAAGAGAGAATATGCTATGTCTGACTATATGGGTAGAAGAGTCTCTTGTTCTGGACTGTTCATTATAAACAACAGCCTTTGATGATCACACTATTGGCTTTATCACCAGGCCACCTTTTGCCCATACAGTCTTTATGGTTCAGCTTCCAAATAACAAAAATATATGAATGATAATAAAATAATTAGATTTTATGGACCTTTGGTAAGTTACAATACATAATTATGTTTAAAGTATGAAGTATGACCTAGTTGGTCATCTCACACACACACATATATGTCTGTAATCCTATTTTACCAATAATCTCTTCTGCTTTCCATAATCTATAAATTTGATTAGCATTATATAAGTAGTTTCCCCCGATCATTGATAGCATGTTAAACAGGAGAGAATAGTATGTCCACCACTACAGGACTCCTTCCAGAATGAGAAGATGCACTATTTTAACTTCACTGAAAGATACATTATTTAACTTCATAGAAGAAACTAAGATATATTTCTTTCCTACACATAGTCAATGCTATGTTTTCCTACCCCTTAAAAATAACATGTAGCTGTTTCTTTTATTACTTTACTGATTATTATAATAAGCTAAATTTATATTTCTTTTAAATTCCTATCTGAATATGTTAACAACAAACTCATTTTGCTATCAAATCACCTATCACTAATCTTTCAATATAATTCAATAATATATGAAGTGTGCAAACACACACAAATAATCGTAAATGAATTCATATTCCTGATGTGAGCATAGAGAAATCAGTAATATATGGCTAACTGAGGTAAAGTTAGGAGTAGGTATCAGTTCAATTTATTATGTTGTGGGAATTAAGTATATTAACTCCATTCTTTGATTAAGGTAATAACCAAAGAAGAATAATTAGCAATATTTGCAGATGTGAATTGCTCTAACCTAACATCATTCCATGTGATTTGTTTATAGGAAAAACTGATTTGTTAGCATCTCTGCTTTATTTCCCCAGTCCTCTTACCTTTCTTCCTGCTAAAAGCACGGTTCATGATGAAGATCCACCAAGTAAATGATCACTTCAATCACACTTTATATCCTATAAACAAGGAAAATATTAAAACATAAACGGACTGCTGATCAACCTCTTTATGTTAATGCACTTTAATTACAGAGCGTTTTAAGATTAAATATTTTCTGATACTATATTATAATCTATATTTGGATTTCATGAAACAATTGTATTGCTGAAACAGGCAACAGCAACTTGGTAAGTAAATTTCCTTGAATTGACCTTATATAGCCTATCACTTCTACTTTACCTTCTATTAGGACTAGTACTGCTGGCATATTTCAAGGTAAATTAAGACTTTTTCAGAATTAAAAACATTATGCTGTTCTCTCAATAACTTGCATTTTTTCATTACCAGGATCAATCCAACCACAATAAATATCTAATAATCTGCTTCTATGATAGTCCAGAGACCTGCCTAAATAGAGATCAAAGGAAACTCATCTGTTTAAGAATCCAGTTCTGTGCACTTCCATCTTCAGATGACACACACTGCCCACTGTAGCCCAGAGTTTCAGTTTATAGAAGGACAAGAACTATGCATGATTCTGGAAGTGCCTTACCCAATCCCACTCCTATTCTCAGAGACTTAACAATCACTTCCTGCTCAGACCTTTTATGATATTTCATCAAGTCCTTTATTTCTGAAGGTCAGTCAGCATAGGAAACCAGGATTCTCAGGTCACTCTCATCACTCAGACTCAAAGCCTAATACACAGTATTCTGTAACCACATCTCTCATCTCTCCCATCATCAAAAAACATTCCTGTGTCTTCTGCCCTTAATGGTAAATCATTATCAAAATGTACTCAACATTTTTTTTTCTGAAGATTCTCTTCATTCTGTTGCTATGAATGAAACCTAGTAGTTACCTGAGCAGCTAGTTGCCCTGAAGTCCTCTAAAAGTTGGCGGGCTTTCCCTTACATGAGTTCTTCCACTCTATTAAGAAATGATGTGGCTTCTTATTTTTGTACCTCTCTTCTCCTTCAAAACCCCAAATGTCACTGAATATTGTGATGGGACTGTATATTTATAAGGAAGTACAATATATTCTGATCACCCCAAAAGTCATTTTTCACCCAACCTATTGACATAGTTATTTACTGATGATATCCTAGAGAAATAAGGGAAAATAGAAACAAGCAGAAAAAGAACAAAATGTGTTCAATGCAAAAGTCAACTTACATCCCTAAAATTAAATAATAGGATGACATCTAAATTAAGAATACCATAAACTCTATGGAGGTATATAAACAGAAAGAAAAAATTAGCAAAATTATATAAACTTCACTTGGAGGGCTACAACTCTAAAACACCAGAGCCAGACACTGGTGGCTCCATAATCCTACCTACTTGAGAGGCTGAAATAGGAGGATCCTGGTTCAAGGCCAGCCCAGTCAATTTGTTCATGAGCCCCGCATCTCCAAAAGCGGGAAGTCATGACTTCAAACCCTCACCAAAAAAATAAATAAATAAAAATAAAAATCAGAAAAACTCACTTGCCCAGAATATGCACAGATATGAATGCCAATAAGTATCAGGTAAACCTTTTCTATAAAATAAATAAGCAATTTCATTGTCCAAATATCATCAATTAGCACATGTATTTGAGCCAATGCCACTCTACAGTTCTTTGTAAAGCACATCTTGCTATAAAATAGGAAATAAGAAGCTATGACCTGCTTAGACACTGCTCCATTATGTAGAAAATGATGCCTGTCACCAGACTGCCATGGAATATACTATGTATTTATTTAATGTACTGATGATACACATTTAAGGTACTTTTTATTTATTCATTCATTCATTTATTCATTTATTCATTTATTCATTTATTCATATGTGCATAGATTGTTTGGGCCATTTCTCCCCCTTGCTCTCCCCTTCGTCTCCCCCCCAACCACCCTCGGTTCCAGGCAGAACCTGTTCTGCCCTCTTCTCCAATTTTGTTGAAGAGTAGACATAAGCAAGAATAAGAAAGACAAAGCATTTTTGCTAGTTGAAATAAGGATAGCTATACAGAGAGATTCTTAGCATTGCTTCCATGCACAAGCGTACTACAACCCGAATTGATTCATCTCTACCTGACCTCTTCACTACTTCCTGGTCACCTTCCCATAGTGACCTTTGTTATTTTAAAGTTACTATATTAGCTCATCTATAGTGAGCACATCAAACACTTTCAAGTTTGGGGTTTCCTACCTTTCCTTATTCATTTAAGGCACTTTTATAGTTGAGGTAACAGAACATATATAGCTATAAATTTAATATCTTAGTTAAGAAATATAAGTTCCATATGCAATTATAAAAATATAAGAGATATATAGAGTTCTATATTTAGAAATATAAGTTCTATGTAACCTGACTTTATTTCAACTTACAGTGTAACAAAATACTTATAATCCTCCTTTTGATGAAACTTTCATAAATATTGCTTCAGTGACTACATTTAAATGGATACATTATCTTCCAATAAATAGATAATTTTTACTTTGAAAATTTAGCTAAATATGTAGGAATAATAATTTATATAAAGTTTTCTTTTGTTAATTTTCCTTAAGAGCATCCTTAAGCAAAATATGCTAGGTTTAAATTAGCATTATTTTATGTTTTCTATTTTTAAAATTTATTTTAAAGGGGTTGCAACAATGTACATGACTATCAGTTATGTACAAGAATTCTCATTTCATTTCCTGCTCTCTGAATAGTATGTGCGTATCTGTGTTTTGCATGTATGTTCTATATTTTCTATAGTCATTTTAAAACATAAAACTCTTTAGGATTAATAGCATTATGTAATATGATAGGTGAATTTACAGTGATTTTTCATGGTGTTTTTTAAATATCCATTGTCATTTAACAAATAATCCAATCCTTCTCGTTAATTTATGTTGCCACCTTTTTGTATATTAAATAGAGATCTAGTTATATTTAGAAACCTATGGGCAAGATGGAGTGACAGAGTTAGATTTATCTTAACACTAAAACACCTTTAAAACATGAATCAATGACTCTTATGTAAAGGCCTAAATCAAATTTCTCGATGGAACTAGCGACAAAGGAGACATTTCAGGAGTAATGAATAGTTGAATTGAAGACACAAACATAGAAACTATTCAAATTTGACAAAGAGAGCAAAAAACTAATAGGAAATAAGGGAAGAAGTGATGGAGGGAGGGAAAAAGGAAAGACGGGTGGAAAAGATAGATCACTAAATTGTGGGAAAACTTCACATGGTCAAATAGTTCCCGAAGGAGAGGAGAGAGAGGAAGAGGGTAGAAAACATAAAGGCTGAGAATTTTCAAAACTTGAATGAAAAAATATAAACCCATGAATCTGAGAAGCTCAACAAACCCCAAATATAATAAAAAAAATTATACCTGCTACACCCTGATTAAACTACGGACATCCAGTGAGAGCCAATGTTAAAAGCAGCCGGGCGTCAGGGGACTGAGAGTAGACATTAAGCCCAGGGATGAAAGAGGAGGATAGCAGAAGTTTGCGCATGTGAAACATACAGACTAGAAAACAAAAGGAAGAAACAAGTAATTTGTTCATAATTGGAGAAGAGTAAGGGTGATTTTAAGGTCCATTTTAATTTCCTTTATAAAACATCGTCATACATTTTTTGCTTTTATCTTCCTTAAGAATCCAGAGGCAAGATCCTATACTCGATATCTGCAGTAGGTTGAAATACTATTAAGTGAGCTTATAAATACATTTGGTATCTACAGTGTTTGGGTATGTTCAAATTCATAATTTATAATTTATTGCAATATTACCATCTCGTTACATTGTATCTGTCATGCGGTAGATGCCATAAATATTTTAATCTCAAATTTTAATTCAAACTCAGTAATCACATTGAAAAAAGGGTCCATTTGATATTAATTTAATTTAACTTATAAATTTAAACTTTTATAAGCCTAATATTTTAATTAGTTTGGAGTCAACAAATATTTTTTTGGCTACTTGCAGGAATTCAAGTCTGAAAACTGGTTGACCAAAAAATAATCCACTGATATGTGTAAATAAGCTAGTTCAGAAGTTTTAGACTGGACTTTTCATGAAATGGAGTTTTCTGCTTTGCAACCTGATACTCAAGGTCTAATTAAAAAATTAAATCATATTCTTATGATTAAGGAAACTAAATATAGTATGAATATTAAAATCTATAAAAATGTTTCTGGATTTCACTTTTACCCTTATGAATGCATTTAGCATCAAATTAGCCTAGAAATCTTTCAAGATATTAAAATGAAAAAGAAGCCTGAAAATAGATTAAAACATAGTTCACATTAATATGTCACAAGTCATTTTAAATCCTGGTCAGAGATGATACTAAAATAATTTAAGTCTAACTGTAAGATTTAGTTCTACATAGGAAGGAAAACTCAGTGAAGTACAAGACAATTATTTCTTTTGTGAATGCATAGAAGACACCATTTTGCTCTCAAGTCTTTGGCATGTTTTTGAATATACAATTCAGTGAGGTAGTTATTAAAGGATGTCAGACACTTTTAGATCCTGACTTAACTCCTCTAGAATTCTAACTGTTGGAACTTCATTGCTTGCGATGGCTAACGAAGCCTCCAAAGTCCTACTAGGATAACTCAGTTTGGCTTTGACACTCTTCTTGATTTAATTAGTGTCTGTTTAAGGTACAATGCTTAAATCTCCCAATTATAAGACATCTTACAATATTCTTCATTGATTTTGTGACTGTAAATTGTAAAAGACTTTGAGCTTAACGATCAATACTGACTGTAGCCAAGGAATCCAACCGGTACACAAACTGAGAAGTTTCACAGCACCAAGAGAGGAAACCATTTGATATGAGGTGAGGAGAATACAGATTTAGTTTCCTGAGGAATAGCAACAGTGATACTTTCTGAAACTCCCCAGTTACAAATATATGTTTACTGTTACTTTATTTTTCTCAATATAGACCTAAACACTTATAAAAATTATTTGTTCTTTTCATGAGTATATTTTAAGACTATATTATGTAGAAAGCATTATACCA